TATTCTTTATAAAAGTTAAGCATCAACCACGCCTACCTAAAATGGCTCGTTCTAACACGCCCCCACATGTCTACGTCACGATGTGGGAAGATTTGCATGACGCCGCCCAAATGTTCACGCAAAGAAAGAAAATACTTTTATTCTCGCTGTAGTATTGTCGCTGCCGCCATGTCGTGAAGGCGCTGTGTGTTTCGTTGTGAAAGCGAAACTACTTTGTTTGGCCTTCCAAAAGAGGACGATATCCGCTTTGTCATGCCTGGAGCTGATCCGTGCTGGTCGCTGAGGAAATACATTAACTTCGCGCTGTGGATTGCCGGATCGGCTTTCACCGTGGACGAAGCGGAGTCCAGCCCGGGGTCGTCACATGTGGTTGCCGCAAGCCCACCGGCCACTCCTTCGTCGAATCTGCTGGCAGCGCCGTTCTCAAGCCTGTCTGCCACCGCTCACTCTAGCTGCCGGCCTCCGCTCACTCAAGCCCGCCGGCCACCGCTCACTCTAGCCCGCCGTGTGTTTCGTTGTGAAAGCGAAACTACTTTGTTTGTCCTTCCAAAAGAGGACGATATCCGCTTCGTCATGCCTGGAGCTGATCCGTGCTACACCTCGCTTTTCAGACCGATGAGCTTTGTAAAAATCGACGCATTTCAGAAAGGTGGGGCATAAAGGAGAAAAAATAATGTACAGTATGTGGAAAATAATGTGTTTTTTTAACTTTAATCCGCATAAACACATTTCATTACACCAAATACACAAAATAATGTTCTTTTTAGCAACATCATATGACCCCTTTAAGGTTTGACTAATAACTCATGCAGAAGGGTTATTACTTCACAGTCTTAGCAAGCTCTAGCAGCTCTTTTCAGGGGTCAGTTCTCTCAGTGCCTTGACACTGATACAAGACACCACTACACCGCTGGCATTTTACCCTCCCAACCATACGAGACAGCTAGACACTCTAAAGCCCCGGCAACAGATACAGAGCGCTGAAGCCTAAGCTGTGAAGAGACAGGTAAACAAAAGCCTGCTGCTGTTCTGCAACACTGTATATGGCATCAGAGGGATTCTTAATGATTGTAAGTGGAGACCAGGTCATGTTCACCATTGTGAAAATGCTCTCACTGAAGTAATGGGGTCTCTTAAGTACGGTTTTAGCTTACTGGTAAACAAGCTGCACTAGCGTGTTTTCTAAAGGCGATGTCTGGCTGGTTTGCAGAGTGTTTTCACAGTATGAAGTTCAGTCTTGCTTTAGTTACATTTTAATTTCAGCTGATTTACTGTTATGTGCTTCTGAGATTTGCAAGTAGCCAAGCTTTTAATGCGACAGAAACTTAATAATATAGTCGAATGCAATAATGAAACTACTCAATGTATCATTGCACAGCCTATAACATTATATTAAATGGCTGTCATATTAAACATTTTTGGCTGCTCTATATTGCATTAAATTGCATGCTGACACTAGGTCAGTGTGTGGGATTTCTAACTGATTATGTGGTGATTCATTGTTCTCATTGTAATCAGGGGTCCTGCATTAAATGTCAGAAGATGAAATTTGTATCTGAGCTTTCTGTATATTTCATCTCTCTCCCTCATTCTGTGTGATGTGAATGGGAATAACCTTGTCCCAGTGAAAGAGCCATTTGAAATGCTTTTCAACCTGCTTCCGGTGTTTAAACACAGCTTATCTGAACATTTTTAAATAGACACCAGCTTTACATGCCCATTGAACAAATAATGGTTCAAGGCAATTCATTTTGCAGCTGTAAACATACCAGCTGGCTTTTGCCAAGCAATATAGAGACAAATCCTTCACTTTGGGGCGAGTTGTCTGTTTAATTGAGAGATTGTAGCCTTTTAATTTGTTTCTGACACATTTACGCAGTCATCTGACGTGCACTAGCTGGATATAGCCTTGGATCCTCAGATAAATTAATGCATAGTTCTTCTTGTCTTTCACTTGCAGTTTAGCTTGTGTTGTTGCCAAGTTTTCTTGAGGGTCTCATCAGCTGTTATGACCACTTGATTTAACTTCCAGTCATCATGATTCAGAGAGTCTTGTTACAAATTGAAAAGAAACATAAAGTGTGGCAGTGATGTCTTAAAAAACAGGTGACAAGACAAGCTACTAAAGGAAATCAACAGACCGGCTGAGAAATATTGACTTGAAGTTGAAGTGAAAAGTCTGGTTCATATTGCAGCTTATTCTCACCGACGGACAAACATGTTAAGCAAATAACTAGTTTTAGTTTCCTTTTATGAGCCATCTCATATAAGCCATCTCTTATGTTTATCTGAAATATTTTATAGCATGATAATGAACCAGCCTGGAAAACATTTATTCAAAATCAGTATGGCAGAAAAAAAAACAGTGCAAAAAAAAAAATAAATAAATAAAAAAAATAGAAATAGAATTTGCATCGAATTTGACACCAGACCTAAATGTAGGGCTGCACAATTTGGGAAAAATTATATTTATTATTAAATAATACTACTAATAATAATTATATACAAATATTATTTATGTGTATGTATATATATATATATATATATATATATATATATATATATATATATATATGTATATGTATGCATACATGTATATATATATATATATATATACATACATGTATATGTGTGTACTATATATATATATATATATATATATATATATATATATATTTGTAATTTTATATATCTTTT